AAAGTCGTGCACCACTCGGAAGAATTCGGAAATGCAACGGATGGAACGGCTGCTTCCCTATGACTTTAAATGCGATTTGAAAAAAAGAGATTCATAAATCTTGATCTGAGGAAGAGAAAAACAGCAAATTTACTCCCATGCACTATTTTTTTGTTATAATTTTTTAAAGATTTATTGCTGTATTGCATTTATTTCAGATTTCCATTTTTTCAATTTTTTTTAAAACCTCTTGTTTGCTTGCAACAATAATGGAACAAAATTCACTCCATAAACATTGTGTATTTGAACATCTTTTTTGAATTCGTGTCACTAAGAAGGCTTATCGTTGGGCTCACATTAATTAACTGGCAGGCTCTGCATAAATTCAGAGTTAAAAACAAAGAAAATACAGCTGGTTTGAGCTGCCGACATATAAAGAGCAGTTAATCAACTAAAAGCAGAGTTTGTAAGGAAACCTGTTGACGTTAAAAGCAGTTAGGACACAAAAATTATCTTTATACATTACTGAATCTCTGGGATTTATTCCCAGTAAAAAAATAGGTTGCAGCTCCTATTTTTACTTTTTAAATTAATTAACAGAGAACGCAGAGCTAAACTGTTCAACTGCTTCATCTGTCAGGCGATCGGCTTTCTGCGATCTCTATGATAAAGTAGAATATGAGGCCTGATCTCACCTGACTATTAAGCAGAGTCTGCTGTTTCAGACGTAGGTTCTCAGGGGTGTCGGTCACAATGGTGAAGGAGGTTTTGGGGTAATGCCTGAAAAAGATAAAAAAATTAAATACAGAGAATAAATAAAAAGCATATCTGGATCTAAATAAACCAAGATCTGCTTTATTTATTCGCCGATAGAAACAAGGAATTTTATTTGGGTTTCATTTTGCTTTTAATGAAGAAAGAATAAGCTAAATATTTACCTTTTTGCACAAATAGAATGTTGTTATATTAGTGTATATATGCACTATTCTGTTAAGTGTTTATCAGACAGACACGCTGATATACAGAAAGGACAGAAACTGTCCTTTTGGAGGCTTTTTTTTTTATATATAAATAGAGCTCTGTAGCTACAATCTAAAGGCAAAAGTCTTAACATCTTATGCCAAGGATATGTGAGGCTTGCAGAGATTTTAGCTCCCATTTCCTGACCTTCAGTCCATACAAGTCATGGATGGAAGGAAGGTCAGTCCTGGTTATCCTCCCTGCAGCCTAATTTTGTTCTTCCTGGAAATACTGTGGTTCTGAATACAGGATGAAAAATCATAAACATCCAATAAAAATAACAAGAACCAAGAGCCATTAAGTGTGAGTGATTTTCAGCATCAGCAAACAACCACTTTCATGTTGAGACTTCCTATAGGGTCTATGAGCTATAAGGTCCTCATGGAAAGTGTGTGCACCAAAGTTCAGTTTAGCTTAGCATGTAAGCAAACAGACTAATCCATTAAAATACCAAGACACGGTCTAAAAGACGCATCAACCCTCAGTTAATGTTGTCTAGATGACATATTTTCAGCAGCTCTTTGTAAATAACCTTGTTTGTGTTCAAACAGCTTTTTTTCCCTCTGTAACCCTAACACCACTATATTCTTATATGGAACATATTATCTCAAGGTTTTAACTCTGCAATGTTCCATTTTCTAATTATTGCAGAATTATTGAAATAACTTGACTAAATTGTAGATCTTTGGGTTTCAGTGTTCACGGATTCACTCACATACTGCAGTAGGGTTTCTTCTCAAAGCCTTTGTAGTTGTTCATACTCAGAGCCATCTTGCATACCTCGCAGCTGAAACAACCTTTGTGCCAATACTAGAAAAAAAAAAAAAAAAAAAAAACATGTAAACAGATCAAAGAAAAAGTTTTGCACAACTCTTGAAAAACAACACATTCATTATTAGACTTAATTTAAAAACATTGATTTATAGTAGCTTTCATTGGAGTTATTAATTACATTTCAATAACCAAACCTGTTGCTATAATCTTGTTTTTTTTTTATATTATCATCTGCTTTTAACTGCGATAGAATTTATTTTACTTTAGTGCTTTTTAAGGGCTTTTAAAAAACTTTATACGATTTAATGGCGGAAGAACTGATGCTTTGCTCTGAAAAAATAAAGTAAAAATGCAAACATGCACTTTGTGCTAAAGGCACTTTTTTTTTTTTTTTTACACAAGCTTCATTTCTTAAATTAAATTTTCTATCTGCTGAACCTGCTGTACCATATTGAGGTAACTTGTAAACAGCATTATCCCAGTCAAAGGTTTGCCTTTTTCTTCATATATAAAATAACAATAGTGTAAGTATTGGTTTAAAATGTATTAGGTTGAAAAAGTGTTTAATCTGCATAATCATTTTTGTATTGCAAAAAAAATAAAAATATATATGTATATAAAAAACATATATATATATATATATATATATATGTGTGTGTGTGTGTGTGTGTGTGTGTGTGTTTTAGAATATTGGTTTTAGCCTTTAAAATGGCACAACTTTCCCATAATTTAAGATTTGCGTCTGTCTGACCACTTTATTCATAAATATTGAATTGTATTTTATCATCAAACAGAAGTTACTCTTGAGTGATTTTGCAGCTATTTTTTGTAATTTATTTTCATTTGTTGCATATCTACCATTATTTATCACATTAAGTGTTGCACTTGATCACATTTTTGCGACTCAGGGAACATTTTCCATGGGTATTGGATACATTTTTATATTTACAAGAAAAACTTCTAACAGCAGAAAAAATAATGATCCCTACAGGGACAGAATATAAACAAAAATCATCCCACAAAAATTGCTGTGATCATTACAAAAGATCAGAAAATGAAGTTTGACTTTCATGATCTTACCTTATCCAGGCAGTTTATTTTTTCTGTTGGATAAACCTGTTTATTACATCTCCCACACGGCGGATTCATGTCAGATCAGCGTATCTTTACACTTCCCAAAAAAAATAAACCTTAAAAAAAACCTTTGATTGAAAGCAAAAATTTAAAATAAAAAAAAATCCCTTACTGCTCCTGCGTTTTGTCTGCAGGCATTTCTGTTAATATAGTGTAATAAAGGTAGGAGGAGTCAAGTCTGTTCGGCCTTTCCTTAAAGGAACTTTTTAATATTGCAATGATAGTTATAAATTACAATTATTATTAAGCTGTTCGTATATACAGACTCTATGCGGAAACAAACATATTAAAACGTAACATTGTAAATAGGATAACGGCAGGTGGACTAAATAACCGGTTATATGTTGCAATATTGGTATTTTATTGGTTGATATAATGTTTAAATGGCGCCCTCTGCCGGAAAAGATGAGGCATAACAGTCTCACCCGTAAACGGTTTTTTATTCAACGTCATACGTTACTTTAGCGTCATGTTGTGAGTGGCCGTTGGTTGTGTCTATGATATCTATGGTGTCTATTTGGTTGGAGGATGTGAATTTAAGAAATGGAAGATAACAGATAAATGCCCGGTTCAGGCTAATTAAAGAAAACAGACGAAGCTAAACAGTGTTTGGTCATTGTAACCAAATCTGAAAAAGAATAAAGATACTCATCTTTTTCGGCTTTCTTATTATTGCTATAAAAGCATACTTGGTATTACTAGTCTACATTTAAGATAATCAAAATCAGCAGGGACGTGAAGAATAGCATTGTCTTGAGCTACTTTACAATGTTTACGCGACATAGCCACTCGTAACATGGTGGACGCGCCGACGTGGCGACGGTGCGCATAAAATGAGGTAAAGACCTATAAACGGAAGAAATAAATGCAAGTCGGAGAGCCGTAGTACCACGTCTAATAAAGCTAATAAGCAAAAACGCCTAGACTCAATCTATACTGATTTATAAAGACACCGGTCTCACGGTTTTTCACCACGGGGGTATAGCTCAGTGGTAGAGCATTTGACTGCAGATCAAGAGGTCCCCGGTTCAAATCCGGGTGCCCCCTTTTTTTAAATTTTTTTTTTTTTTTTAAGTTTCTTGTATAATCATTTTTGGGGATTGCTGTTGTCGTAGATAAAAAAAATGGAAAACTCCTTAACCGAAATTGCTTTAATTCCCTTCGCTGTCCAGTCAGAAGCCTGTATGGAAATGTGTCATTAACTGTTAAGGTAAATGTAACTTTTAATGTCCTTTTCATAAAGTCCCCTTTCATATCCTTCTATCAAACTATGACATTCTCCTTCAGATTTTGCACATCGTAACACAAAATAAGGATTTTATCTCCTTACAAAAAAATGAAAAAACTTTCTTTAATATATACCTAATTCAAATTCAACATCTTTTCAATGTTGAATTTAATATGCATTATGTTTGCTTTAGCACATTATGAACGTTTTCTTTTCTCTCATCCTTCTCCTAGAACTCATAAGGCAGGGCTAGGGATGCTAATCATTACAATTAGGCTAAAGTGGATTTGTTTTGTACTGCAGCCAAGGAGTGTGAGTGCACTGCAAATACAAAAAAAATACTGCAAACTCAATAATTAGACTGTCTAGTTGTTGGGTTTGTGCCTGTTGTCTAGTGTTCCATGACAGTCTTCTATTGTTGACCCCACCTAAAGTAAGGGAGAGGAGGTAAAATTAGCAGTGTTCTGACTGAGGGATGCAAACTGCGCTGTTCAGGTTGCCTGAGTGAGACAGTGATGGATAACTCTGGTTATTTAAGAAATTATGTCCAAATCCAGTCCAATCTAATTTTATTTAGTGACAGTGGCATCCCCTCACTTGGACGTTCCCGACTCTCATCCTGAACGATTCTCATCAAGTCGAGAATCATTTTTACTTGAGGAATAGGTGAATTTAGATAGTTTGGAAATTTGTGTTTGGTTTGATTGATGTTGTGGTTTCCTGGTTGATTCATTTATTTTTGTATGTCAAACTGTCTGACTGCAAAATTGTCTGAAATAATCAAATCAGATAAGAAATTAGCCGCAATAAAATATTAAATTATATTTCCAACTAGCGATGACACTGAGTTGTCACAGAAGAAAGCTGACATACTACAGAAAGAAGAAAAATAATAGTCTAATACTTCTGTTGTTGTGGCCAGTAGTAGGCAGAAAGAGCCACCATGGAACACGTAAACAAATAAGTGATTTTAATTTTGTATGTTTAGAAATGTAAGTATTTGTTTTGAGACACTAACTTCAGCGCAGTTACCCATCTGATCGTAGTGAGACAGCTTTCGTGTGGCCAAAAAAACAGCATCTGCAGCATATTTTGTCTAAATTTGAGGATTTTATTTCTTCTACCTCAGGATAGTGGGCATTAAATGTTTACATTTTTACTAAATAAATCTTAATAATATATCCAAAATTAATGTAATATTCTTACTATGAATTTGTTTATAAAGACCGAGATAAAAGGCATTTTTTTTTTTTAGCTCTTACTGCATATTTAGACTATATTGGTTTATATTTAAAGATGGGTGCAGGATATTTTTTTTTATATACCAGCATAAATTTAAAACAGCTTTCACTTCTGCCTTTTGTTTCATCCAAGAGTGAATAACGTTTTTTTTGCAATCTGTTGGTTTTATACTGATTAAATCAAGATGTCTGTAGTTCTTTATATATGGTGGACTGTTCATATGCCCGTATTTTGGTGCGATATGGTGCCAGAATGCAAGAATGCTTAAATAGAGACTCTTTTCCTAGTTAAATTCCCGTAGTTCCCCCTACTAGGGTGTGGGCTCAGCCCCCATGTTCCCAGGTCCAGGAAACGCCCCTGTTCAGCGAACAAAGTGCTGTAGAGTGCAAAAATGATATGTTAAACCAGCGGCGGATCTAGGGGGCGGCTACTTGGGCTACAGCCCCGGATGTTTCCCCAAGAGCCCCGGATCTCACTTCAGAGCTGATCTGAGTAAAATGTGCAGTACTGGAATTCACCAGATAGCTGCAGCATGTGCATGAAAGCAGCTTGTAGCATTAGCGTGCAAAAAGCAAGTGGTCACCACTAGCTGTTGCTAAACAGACTGATCCCAGGTATGTGAAGCCCGTACCGATTTTGAGACATTCTTTGTGCCGGTGTTGTATGAAAAAATAGATTTTGGTGACATTTGATCATTATTTGCCAGAGTTATGAGAGGGAAATTATATATTTTTATATATTTATATATTATATATTTTTGTATTTATGGTTCCCCAATCGTAACTCTGGCAAATAAGGAACAAATGCTACCAAAATTCCAAGGTTTGTTGTTGATGAAGAGAGGAATAAATACAGTTAAAGACTTGCAGGTATATTAATATCTTCCTGTGTTATGGAGGGGAATTCTTATTTGTGATAGCATGTAGTATACTAGAAATTTTCTTTAATCCAGTAATCTGTCATATTTTACATTAGAATGGGATTTATCAGAAAGTCTACACCATCATCTTCACCCTTAGGGCTAAGCCCCTGGCCTCCTAATATCCTACATCCTCCCCTGTGTTCAACTAGAAAAGATGCAAAGAGGGCAGACCTCCTCCAAACAGCAAATTTTGCCCTAAATTGTGACTTACACCTATTATAGGAGCCATTTGTAGTTTGGGTCTATTTTATTTAGTTTCAATACATTGGTTGGGTTTGGTGGTGGTATTGGGTTTGTATGTGAATTGTCTCTCTCACCTATATTCTTGCTCGAACACTGGTGGCACTGTCGGTGAAATCTACATATGTCAAGGTAAGGGCAGTGTGGGAAGTGTGTGGGGGAGGTCACATGGTTCTTTTACTGCTCTCCCTTATATACTCATTAGCTTCATTATGTCAACATATTGACCAATAAGACCATTTCCTTTGCATGCTTCCATAGACCGCCACCCTGGAGTTTGGATTGCATTCAGTATTCAATGTGTGCATAAGAAATGGGAGCATTCCCAAACTTATCTCCCAGTCTGGACATTGC